TTGCTGCTGCGATTTGTGATCCAAGTTGATCCAAAACTTGACCTACATACGCGGGCGCCTAACAACTCACAGCAACCGGTTCATTCTGGTACAGCGAGAAGGAACCCAAAATATTTACGAGCATGTATTGGGGGGGAATTTCTAATAAATTTGATCCTGACTTTAATTGGCTTTTATTTATAGGAACTCAAAGAAAGAGAAACGTTAGCTTAAAAAGGCTTTTAGAGAAACCCCAAAAAATATACCCTCTAAAGTTGTTTCTGTTGAAGATATTCCACCTTTTGCTCTCCCAGCAGCTTATGCGTTTGTCCAGCCTAAAGTTTACACTGTTGCAATATACGTAGGAGCAAGGCTTATTGGAAATTTGGTGTCATATTTATTTGCTTAAGAAAACCAGCCAAGTGAAGCACGTGATGTGTCAATAATGCTCTTTGACGTTGTACAACACTTATTTATGGGTTGCACATGTATTTGCATGCAGCAAATCCTTTGGCTGCATTTCAATGTGTATTTGATGTCGATTTTGTAGGCCACAAACTATACTCTGAGAAAGAGAGAGCCTCAAGCAATAAACCTTTCTCCTGTGCATTGCCATTGCATAATTGAACACCCTCCAAGCACCCACAAATATATCTGACTTTCTGTGTTGCGATTATTGCCCATTGTTTGCCAGGCCTGCGGCTGCAATTCGTTGGATACTTTTTGTGTGTGGGCCGCCACTGTCTATGGTCGGAGTCTGGGTCGTCTCAGGGCATGCTCTACTCCACTTCCAATAGAGTTTTTCAATAAAAAAAAAACAAACACTCACGCTGCTAGAAGCCAAAGCAAAATAAACAGAAAACCTCTAACAAATGGTTTGTTTGAGCTTCCCCCTCTGCGCCACAGCAAAAGAGTTCAACAAACTTTAATCGCACATTAACCGCTGGAGGAATTTGATCCCCAAGCCAATTGTTTTTGGTGGAGGGAATCCACAGAGAGAGAGAGAGAGAGAGAGAAATGCTCACTCAGCAACAACAACAATGGAGTGCTCCTTGCTGTGGGGATTCAAATGTGGTTCCTCCTCTGCTGTTTACCAACTTTGAGTATTTGCAAGTTCTATAAACAAATTTTAAGTTTTCTTTTGGCTGAGGGCATTTCATCCCACAGATGGTTTTACATAAATGGCGCAAAAATAAAATGACAGATGTGCGGAATTATAATAGATAACAATTTGAAAGAGGAGACTGTTGAATGAGTTCTTTTCTGACAATAAAATTTGCATACATTTAGGAATGGGTTTTTTGGCTGGATAAAGGAGCAGATATTGTTGTGGGCACCCTTTAAGAGTGATGTCTTTTAGCAAAGTTTTGGATACATTTTTGTAGGCAATTTCTTAGAAAATATATCAAATGTTAAACTCCATTTGAAATATGATTTTTTGCATCTCCAAAGAACTAAAAACACTTGCTAAAAAAAGAACACTAGCAAAAACCTTCAAGAGCTCTCATCTCAACACTTACTGACGTACAAAACGACCCACATTCACCTACAAAAGTCTATTTTCCCATTTGAACTGCAATTAAGTTCGTGCGATCCGCAGAGTGGAAACTCGTTACACAATTGTGTTTCGTGTGTTGCCCTTTTGGACGTGGATACTGTTGGGAGCCCAATTAAAGTGTGGGCTATAATGCAAATACGTCGTGGAAAATCAAGAAATAAACATAATCATTGCCATTTTGGTCGGGCCACGGCGATCTGTTTTGCAATTCTTAGACAAAAGGCAAAAGCTCTCTCGTGGTCGCTGGTGATTTCAATTATTTATTTTAATTCGTTTGTCACTCGGACATGGACATGGAGCTGAGTGACGGACTGCCAGCCAGACAGCCAGCCAGCGACGACTGACTCCAGCAGAGAGTTGGGCCAGTCAATTACGTGCAGAGAGAGGAGAGATATCTGAGGGATCTGTGCTGGGTGGTTTGGCGAATTAACTAAATTAAATTACAATGAGAACATTGTTGGGTCGCCATGGCAGGCCTCATTATCTGCATTTAACATAAATTTTTCAATTATTATGCGATTCAAAGTGCACTCAATGTCGCAGCTGCTAAATGTATGTTGTTGTTGTTGTCGGCGTCGTGCATGCATACAACTTGCACTCACTGTGCGCAGGCACTTCAGGAATTCAAATTAAAGTTGCGATTTTTTTCATTCGTCGTTTCCTTATTTTGTTGTGTACAAGTGGGGCATATTTTGGCAGCTTTACAGCAAGCAAGAAGGAAGCATTTTGCAACAAAAAATATTCTTGTTAAATTTAAAAAACCAAAACGAGTCACTCGAGATATGCTTCTGGGGTTTCTGTACTTATACGAACCTCTCAAAATGTTCTATAGTTCTTTTTGACTTCTTTTGGAAGTCGCAAGAGCAATTCAAATGCCTTTTATATGCTGCATCTCTTGCGCCTGGCTTGACTTTATCTTGTGGCACGTTTTATTTTCGCTTTTGCTGCTTTTATTGCCTGTTGCCAGTTAGCGGCTGGCTCTTGGCTGCTCTGCTTGCTTGTCGCAATTTTGCCTGAAAATTGGTTCAGATCTGACCCAGTTTTTTTTTGGTTGCAGCAGCAGAAGAGGCTTGGAATGGATGCTCGGTTTGGCAGCTGCAAGAACCACAGAATTGTATGAACCACCAAGGAACAATCAAGGAATGAATCATTCAGAATGAGCTTGCAACAGGAAACAGAATTGAAAGGATGCTGTGATTGGTTCGAATCACTTCAATTAATGAATAAATCGTTCAGTAAAGTGCTCATTTCATTTAAATATTTCTTTGAACAGCATTCCAATGAAAAACTTACAAAATACAACAAATGTTTCACTGAGCATAAAATTCCTTGGCTTTTGTGTGTTTTGATCGATTGTTTCAAATCTTTATTAATAAATCGCAACAATCGAAATCATGGATGATGTCTTGCCTGAATCTGTTACACTGTTAACTGGCTAGTCGTGAATGGATCACGTATTCAAAAGCTGCAACGTGAATGGAATACTCATTCACTGGGGACACAAAGCTGTTGTCGTATATTACTTACTTTATCGTTTCACTGGTTTATATATGAATCGTTCATTGATTTGACCAATGCACAAATATCACAATACAAAAGCTCCACTTAAGCTAGGATTTATGTGGATTAAAAACAGATAACAGCAGAATAATAATTATAATTAGATGCAGTGTTGCGTGTGCTAAAAAATGCCAGAAGGGATGGCTGCATCAAAGGAATTGCTTGGCACATTTTGTATCAATTGCTTCTAGGGAAAATTGCTCAGAAATGTGTTAATGCAAGACATTAATTGTAAATAACTTATTCCAGTGAGCCAGAAAAACCACAAAATTCAGGAAATGCAACGAGAGATAATATTCAGTTACACTCAAGATTTAAAAATATTGTAGAATATGCTTCTTAAACAGCTGCTGGCAACACTGGTCACATGTTGATACTTGTATTTATATATTCACGCGTCTGTATGTGTGAATAATCCCCCTCCACCCATTAAGTGCAACAAGGCATGAGACATGAGTAAGCGAGGAGCAGCAGCAGCAGCAGCAACAGAAGTGCAACAAGCAGCCTCCATCCAAAAACCTGCTCCTTCTGCTTCAGAATTCAGTTCTGTTTTTCGCTTTTTTTTTGCCTCTCTCCTGAGGCATACAAAATTGTTGCTGTTTATTTTTTCTTGAATGCTCTTACAGCGGAGAGTCTCATAAATATTCACAACAGGCTGCAGGCTGCAGAAAGCAGACTTACATAATTAAATATTTGAAGTGCACTTCATTTGTGATTAATTTTGGAAGAAAATGTGCTCTAAACATAGGACTGTCCGCAGGAAGATGTGGGGACTTATGCAGATTTAAAGCAGAGACATTCATGTGGGCTGGGTTATTGGCCAAAAGTGATTGGCATTCAGTTTACTTGTAAGTAAAAGGTGTCTTAATATTTATTTTTTGTTAGGTAAACATCTCATGTTTAAAATTTCTACAGGGTAGCTGCCTCTTCGACGTTTAACTGCATTTCCCCAGTGCATTTTGGAAGCCTTTTTTTCGCAAGCTTTTTTTTCTGTTATTCTGACTTTATTTTTTTCGTGTGTGTGTGTGTGTGTGTGGCTTTCGTGTACGTGTGTATTCTTTATGTATCCGTGTAAAATGTAACCCAAATTTTAAGGTGAAATTGCATTTTTGGCCTGTTGTTCTTTGGTTTGTTTTGTAGGTAGGGGATGCGAAGGATGCAAGCTCCAACGATAAAGCAGATGCTGCAGCTTGCAGGTTTTAATCCCCCACTCTCTCTCTCTCTCTGTGTCGCTTAGCCTGAAAAGCCGAATGATACCCTAGTTAATCTCTGGACAAAAAGGCACTCGGCAGGGGCCAAGTGCGGGTAGAGTTGAAGAACGGGTTTGTAGGCCGATGGGTAATCAATTAGGGCAGCGCAGCATACTCGTACATACGTGGCTAGGAGTTGTTGCCGTTGCCGTTGACCGACCAGCACCTTTATGGCATAACTTTTAGCTAAGTTTTAATTGAGCAGCAACTTAATTGAAGGGGAATTTTATGTTTTTAATGCAAGTTATCCAATAAGCCAAGGGCTACTTTCGCTCAATATTTGTTATGTGTTTTCTTGAGAGTCTGTGATATTTTCGCTATAAAAGAAAACTACCATTAAAATCGATCTGCAAAAAAACACCAAAATAAATCGCCTTTCGACTGAGCTGCTTATAATTGTAAAACATATTTAAAGTTCAATTGTAAACAACAACAATACAACTGAGGATTAGCAGCGCTTAAGCTTAAATGCACTTTCAATGAGCTTTCAACGCTAGAACTTTTTGCATGAAAAAAAGCACCCTTTGATTGGCAACACTTTCCCCCGACACAAAAAACAAAATTAAATACATGTATACAAACAAATATGTAGCGTACCCCGCAACATGTAGCTATGGTACTGAAAATTGGGTCACTGGTGATTGAAAACTCACCTTTTGGCATCAACTAAAATGCTTTTGCCCATATTGGCCAGTCCATTGGATGACGTTAGATTATCCGTACTTGGTATTGTCGTTTGTGATGTGTGCGTAAATTCTGATGATGTTGAGCTGGAAGATGATGTAGAGGCAGACGAAGATGTTGTTTTTTCTACCATATCTTTTGTTGTTGCTGCTGCTGCTGCCAGTTCTGTTGCAACTTCAGTTGTTGCCGTTGTCGGCTCTATTTCGATTTGTAGCCGACAATCGGCAACGATTTTGGCCAGATTCCGACGACTGGCACTCACCAACGGTACCTGCTCCGTTGTCTCGTTGTCATTGTCCGATGATCCCATATCGACTGTCTCAACACTTTCCACAATCATCAAATTCATTGGCATTTTTTCGTAATTAGTGGCTGATGTTGCTGCTGCTGCTGCTGCTGCTGGTGCTGCTGCTGCTGGTGTGGCGTTGGTGGTGGCTGTTGTTGCTGCTTCACACTTTGTCTTCTTCTTGGCTTTCAATTCTTCGGGTTCCTTTGGAATTTTTGAAATTTTTGCCGTCTTGCGGATGGCCAGCGGTCGAGACAGTGGCAGTGTCAGTGGCAGGGGCAGGGATAGAGGAGCAACTGCAACTGTTTCCTGTTTATCTGCTGGTGTTGCTGTTGCTGTTGCTGTTGCGGCTTTTAATGACTCTTCTACAACTTGTTCAGCTGCTCCTGCTGCTGATGCTGCTGTTGCCGTCGAGTTTATTACCAACGAAGTTGCCGCAGTGGCTGCGGCTCCTACTGCTGTTGTTGTAGCTATAATTGCCGGCTGTTGTTGCTGGTGTTGCAGATGTTGCAGATTTTGTTGCTGCTGTTCCTGCTGCTGCTGCTGCTGCTGCTGCTGCTGTGTTGCCACTGCTGCTGCTGCTGCTCCACCTTCTGGTATAATTGTTGCAAAAATTTGTTCGCCAAATATGAAAAGATCCTTGGAAATAATCATTATCACCTTTTTGTGAACGTTTTGCTGCCTTTTTGTTTTGTTGCTGCTGGCGGCTACTTTTGCTGCTGCCACACTTTGTATATATCCCTCTTATATATCTCAGTTTTAAATGTAAATCTGGTTTATATATACAACGTTTTTGGGTGCCCTGAAACACGTTTCCTTTACTTCATTGCATTAAACATATTTTGTTGGCAGTTTTTTTATTCGCTTTTTGGGGATTTCTTTAAAATTTCATAATTCCGCCGTCATTGTCTGGTTTTCGCTTTTTCCTTTTTTACTTTTATATTTTGTTGAATTTATGGAAGGCTGTAATGAAAGAAATGAAGGATGGGTATACAATTAATACGCTTTCATGTATTTTGGGCGTTTTTCAAGGGATAAATAAAAGCTCAAAACGAAGGAAAAGTTTGCTTTAAAAACATTTTCAAACTTTGTTTGATTTGTCTTCATGTGTTTCATCATATTTCCCCACAAAATAATGATGAAATGTGATAGTTTTTCCATTAAAATTAATGGGAAAATGGAAAAGAGTTTGGGATACTAAAAATAATTTTTTTAATTTAATGTTTAATATTCTTAAATTTTTCTGCGGGTTAATTATGGTAGTTGGTACACTTTTTATATGACATTTTAGCTCATAGTGAATAGTTTTAGAATTTTCTGAATACGAATTGGTATAGCAAAAATTAAAAATGAAATGTAAATTAAATTCTTTTGCAGTTTTTATTAAAGATTAAAGAAAATTGCACTTAAAAATGTTATGTCAATTTACTAAAAGATTTATTCTTGTTTTATTACATTTTCTGAACACACATACATATGCACATATGCATGTACATACATAAATATGTTTGTATGTTCTATGCTTAATCTTTGTTTACGCTGTTAAACGGTTTTTTACTGCAAGAGGCTCGTTTGGCATCAAAAACGCACTTGAACCTTTTAAAGTGTTCCTATTTTCATGATAAGTAGCACTTCTATATTTATTGTTTAATACTTTGCGATCTCGATTGCAGTTCGAATAACTTTGAAAACTCAAACACTGGGAAACTCTTTTGTTAGGCGAGTCGGCGTCTAAGTGTCTGAGCGTCGATTCTGATTCTCCCTTTCGCTTCGTTTTTTTAATATATCAACTTCAAATTGTTTCATGCACTTGAAGCTAAAGAGAGAGAGAGAGGAGCAAAGAGCAAAGAGCAAAGAGCACAAGAGCGATAGAAAGAGAGAACCAAATGAAGGTGCATCTTGTTGCTTCTCACACTCAATTGTATTTGTTGCAATTTTTATATTACTTTTGTTTCGCTTTTGTTGTATTCTTCGGCAATATTTGTCAATTAGCCCGCGCGAAACAAAGCGCCAGAGCAAAACGTCAGTTTTTATCGGTTGATTGTTTGTGTATGTATGTGTAGGAGAAATTTGTGTATATAAAATAAATATAAAACAAGAAGAACGCACCCCAGAAACAACGAACGATGGAACGTATGTATTAAAAAATATATTTTTTTGGAGATGTTAAAAATTGTCAGCACATTATTTCACACACTTTTTTTAGTTTTACATTTCATGTAAACATATTCACACGGATTTCTAGTTTTTCCTTTTACTGATAATTACATATTTTTTGTTGAAGTAACACTTGGCGCGGGGGGCAAAGAGCACAGGTAGGACGAGGAGAAATTTGTGTAATATTATTGTTGATTTTTGCTGGAACGAAGAGAGAAGGAGACGCGCGCACGCAACGAACGATCAATCGAACGGGGAGGGGAAAAGGAACGGAACGAGGAAGAACAGCGCAGCGCGTACGACAGAAAACAAAACGAAGAACAACAAATTGTGCTTTTCAGGCAACAACGCGAATTCGGCGCGCTTTCAGCATTGAAAAAAACATCCAGCGGCTGCGCCCGATTTCGATCTGATCGCAGGGACCGTTAAACGCTCCCCAGTTGCTGTCGCTGCTGCTGTGGCGGTTCGGTTTGCGCTGCCGGCGTCGACGCTGAAGAGCGAAGCCTGCCATGAATGACATTCATTCTCTCGCACGCGCGCTCTTTCTTCATTGTGGGGCTGCTTTGCACGTGCGTGTGGCGCTTACTCTCACTCAAGGTGCATGTGTAAAAGGTGGGCTGCTGGCAGAGAAAGCTCTCCGGAAAGATGCGGACAAGATTAAACTGGAAGAGCCAAAACAAATAATTGTTGTTGTTTCTACATCCTATATAGGCGTAACTTAGGTTAACTCAGGTGCACAAAAAAGTTCGTGCGCACATAGGAAAAAAAAGTGGAAAACTCCACTGCCGCACCCTGTATAAACACAACTTGCTCTCACTCTAGTCAACGGTCTCTCTATTTTTCTCGTTCTCGCGCTCCCTCTCTCTATCTGCATTACATTCCAGTTGAGAGCATTTCTTTTTACATTGTATTACAAGCTCTGTTAACGCCATGTAATCGCTTTACAGTCGCGTACCGCTGATAATGCTATTGATAAAACTTTGTCAAAGTCAATAAAAGTTGTTGCTCTTGTTACGGGCTGTTGTTTCTGCGATAGATTGATCAGCAAATTCAACTTGGTGATAGAAATTTAAGGTCTTGATTGGAAACCCAGAATTCATTGAACAAGTTTTTTTGAAGACGTTTTTTTTTTTTTTTGGGTGGAGCGGACAGCTTTTCAAAAGATGTTTTGGCTCGAGGTTGTCACTAAAATATGCTTAGTAGGGTTTTGCTTTTGCAAGTCAACTGATCTTGATTGTATGGATAACATTTTTGAGTACATTGATCCATAAAGAAGCCTCCCAGAAACATAAAGAAACTCAAATGATCTTTTTATCTGATCTGTACCATCCATAGTATCTTGCACTATGTACAAATTGTATGTATTTATGTATGAATTTATGTATTAATACCACTGCTTCACGATAACAGTCATTAATCTTAATATTCATGTCTTCAATTGAGTTTTCATCACAATTCGCTCCGATGAATATTGCTTGTGGCTTACTGCCATCTATAACTTTCAGAATATCATTTCCTTATATTCCACCAAAGAGTACAACTCATAAAGATATTAAAACAAAGATTTCGCCATGCAACTATGTCCTAGCATATTCCGACATTAACTTAAGTATTCATATGGAAATATTCGCCCTAATTCGAATTTAAATAATTATCTAATTCGCCTTAAAACTGTCATAAAATAAGTACCTTTTCCGTGTATGCATGTACAGTACCTCCAGAACCTCTCCCTGTTCTCTCTCATATTTTTTGGCAAATTAGCATTAAAATCTTATCAGTCATTAAACTCGCACTGAGAGAATGTAGCAAGCGCTGCGTATACGCAATTTAAATGCGTGAAAAATATATATAATCATGCTCATATACCTACACATGTATGTACATGTGCCGGGCAAGAGCGTGTGTGGACTTGAAATTAAACGACAATAAACTGGGTCTTTTAGTTGGGTCGTTGACCAAATTCAAATGGAAAATACCATCCATCTAGCTGCATTTTAGGCCTAAATAATGATGATTTTTCACTTTCTTCCTGCCTCCCCACCGCACGCACGCACCTAGGAGGATTTTGCCTCCTGGCCGCAATATTAAGTTTTTTATTGGGTGGCCATAAACCCAAAACGAACAAAAAAGTATAACCGAGAATAAAAAGTCACCGAACAGCCGCGGCCGCCGCCGCCGCCGCCACAGCGTTTCTTTTCCCGTTCTGGTTGTTGTTGCAGTCTACGCTCTTTTTTCGTGCGTTGCGTTGTGTTGTTGTTGCTCACTTCTCTATAAAAAATGTTGTTCAACAATTTGTTCTTCTTTTTGCTGGTTGTTTTTGTTTTTTTTTAGTTTTTTGTTGCTTTTTATTTATACGCACAATGTGCAAAATGTGCGAGAATGGCGGGCAGAGACACACCGATGCGAGCATTTACGCACATTCATGCACACGCACTTGCTCTTAACCTTGAAAAAAACACACACAACACAGCAACTGTTGTTGCCTCTGATACTCTTTATTGAAGGTAGTCTTCGTTTGAGTTCATAAACGGCACTGGGGTTTTATAAGGTAGGTTGCCATGCAAAGGAGTTCGTCTTAAGATAAAATGGCTATAAAGCTGCGAGAGCGATGGCTGGTAAAATGATTCCTTGTGGATAAGCTTGCTGGTTTCTTAATCAAAATTGGATCGTCAAATCCCATAGCTGCCTCAATAATCAAGTTGGTTTTTTTCAATCTTATTTTCTAAATCGAATCAGAATCCAATTAGACACGGTCCATTATGGGAATCCATCGCTCTGCTAGAGTATCAACCACTTCGACCTTCAAAGCTTCTCCTCCTTTTTCGTGTTTTTTGTTTTCGCTCACTTTGAGGTGTTTACTGTACGGAAGAGCTCTGCTTTGTTGTTGGCGGCGGCAGTGGCTGCTGATAAGATTCTTATTTTCTTTCCTTCTTTCTTTTTGCTCTTTTTTCTTTATTTCGTTTTGGGAGAGTGCGTGCCGTGCGTGCCGTGCGTGCGTTCTTTCGTGCCCTCTACCTTTTCTATGCGTATCTGTGTGTGGGCCTAACAAATATTGAATTTCTAGACGAATTTTATTAGGCGAATTGCTGAGACTGTTAATACAATTTTTGTTTTCTTGGAATTTAATTTCGTTTATTTGTTGCTCGCATACATTTCAAATCATTTAGTTTATATTCTTTAAGTTATTTTTTCTTTACAAAATAAAAACCGACCTGCAATTTCCTAAATCTTCTTCCAAAAATGGACCCCAAGCACACATTTTATCAAATAAGTTATCACACATAAAAAAAAACCTTCACCTCATCAACGATTTATTTTAATTGTATTTTCTTCCATATTGTCCCTAAAAAGTTCCGCCATTTCTTTATCATTTCTATATGTACATTATTTGTAATTTTTACAATCTTGCCATTGAACTTCACTCTTATTCTTTATTCACCAAAAAAAAATGTTCCTGATTTGTGTGGTGAGGTTTATTGAACTTGAACTCTTATCAGTCAGGTTTGCATTTGTGTGATACCTTACCCCGAATGCCCCAGAGAGCTGTGTATGCAACAAAAGAAAGCGTCCAACGCCACACACAAAGTCGACAAAAGAATAAAAGAAGTTAGTCATGGTGATCGTCACATGGGTATATCTTATAGGGCTTTTGACCGGGCTAATACGTGTACATATATAATTTTTGTGGAGATTCAAAGTATTTTCTAAAATTTTCCATTTACTTTTTTTTTATGATTTGCTGCAAAAAGTACTGAAGATCCTTTGGTAGAATTCGGAGCCGTTTAGCTTCGTATATTGTTGTGTGAATTTCTTCTAGAATTTTCATATTTGTTACCCAACAAAGGCATGGCTATCAGTTCCTATTTTTCCAGAATTTACCATCCTCAGGCCAGCTCACCAATTTTCATGGCATATTTAGCTCAAATCCTGAAAGAAATCCTCCCTATACAGATACAGATTGGCCCACATGTCCAGGTATAGTTTTACATTTACATTTAATGTTATGCACTTTTAAGTGGCGCCCTCCACACGTCCGCGGTCACAGCATGAACTACTCAAGTTATGTAGAATACATGTAGAAGCCTCATGGAAGCCTCGTGTAGACGGAAGCTTCATAGAAGCATATATCTATGTATCATCAAAGTTCGACTTAAATAATGGACAGAGCACCCAAGCGAAAATCTTTCAAATCCAAATCTTTCCTTCACATGAAGTAGGCTCGGACTTGGCCTCTCAATAGTCACTATCACATCCAAATTCAGTAGGTACAACAAATCGTTCTTATAAATATATGTGTCTGGTTTTGTTCACTATAATTTCAGAGACATAACAAATGTTATTCTCCTGCTATTAATAACTAAACATTTTCAGAGTTCGCACTGCACGTTTGCTCACATTTTTCGGCCTGCTAGAATGTCTAACTTACCGGGTTCGCCGATCGTTTCCATCTACGATTTGCTGCTGGAACGCAAGATCTTACTGGCTGGTAAAGGGGCTTCCTTCGGCAAGCAGAGGACCGGACCAGAAAGCCAAACAATCGCCGAGACTTTAACCAAAGCCAAGGCAATCAGCAGGAGTATCAATGAGTACCTAAGCTGCTCGTCGGAGGGGGAAGCCTTGCCAACAGCGGGGCCATCAAAAGTGACGGCCACGCACCTGACCAAGAAGCAGACGGGGGTCATCATGCAGCAGCCCACCCCGAAGGAAATCATCGTCAGGCTGCCCAAGAAGATTGCGCCTAGAATACTCAGTGGGAAGTCCAACTCGCTAACCTCTTTGACAAAAAGCTACTTTGAGGCCTCCACATCGAAGCCGGTGACGAGCAAGCGCCTCAAGAAAAAGAAGAAGAAGGTGTCAGTCTCTGGAGCAACCACACCAAAGGCCCACTCTGCTGACCAACGTATGCCCATGTCACCACGGAAGGCAGGCGGCGAGATCCCGACACGCGTCAAGACATCCACAATACCAAAGCCTAATAGCCCCAAGACTTCGCAGACCAAGTTGCGCGTGAAGGGGCGCAAGTCTACAGTTTCCATAAGCACCGGCAAGACGCCAACGACACCTAGTAGTGTCAATCGCTGGCGCATCTGAGCACCTTTCACAGGATCTATTCCTTTCACGGGATCTACAGCATACCATTTTTTTCGATTTACAATATTAAAATTTAAAGTTTCTTTCAACCCAAAGATTTCTACACAAGAGAACAGTTGAACTAGGAGAACTTTTAAGGCTGTAGTATCCAAAACTATAGATATATGCGGCAGCTTAGCTGAAAGATCTAATATCATAGAAGAAATATATTACCCATAGGTCTTCCTCCACATATTTCGCGCCTTTCATCTGCGCATCTTCAGTTAGGATTGGGATTTGGAATTACTTACAGTATTGATACTTGTACAGAAAACTTGAGACACGAGACAATTGCCTGATTAAAAGTACAATCTAATGACAATGTTGAGTGGATGGAGTATCATTCGCTCCACCTTCATTCGTACTAACAAATCCATCTAAAATACAAACCATTGACTTCTCTTTTTTGGATTTTTCATTTATTTTGGTTTTATAATAAATTAGAATTTTCATTACTGCAGCTTAACATTCGGGTTTCGTTTCATTTTTCCTTTCATTTAATTCTAAGACTAAGACTTGTGACACATTTTGTAGGCCAATTACTGCGCGGGCTCAAATGGAGTTGACAAGAATTATGTGTGTATTTTTTGGGTTTGGGGGGAGGATTCTCATGCTTCTCATGCTTATTTTCAGTATTTTCGTGTTTTTGATTTTGTGTTGGAAGTTAACCAACATTTTGCATAGCTTAGACCTAAAAGTATTTTGCTTAATTAATTCTGCTTAAACATTTTCGCATTCAATTCGCACACAAGTTGGTTGCCATTTTGCATTTCGCTTTACTGAATTTCGTTTGATTTTTTCTTGTTAAAATGCAACCACTACAAACTAACAATACTTGGCTATATATATATAGAGAGTATATATAGAGTATGCCATTATCGAATCTCAACTCGTTTTAGTTTTGCTTTGAAGTGTTTGTCGGCACTGTGTCGGGATTTTTCGACCAAAAACGTGGGTTGAGGGTAGATCAAAGAGGAGTTATACAAAAGGAACGAAAGAATTGCTCACAATTCGGTTTCGATTGGGTTTTACAAAAATATTGTACACAATAAAACATTTTGTATAATCGTTTTTATCAAATGTTGTTTTCCCCCTAGCCAAAGACCGGCGGCAAATCGATTATTAAATATATTCTTTTGTTGTTACTGTGTGTTTTGCGCTTGCTCGACATCTTAATGAATTTTCTAAAACAAAAATTCAAGGGCGCGCCCTCTCTGCATGTGGTTTGTTTACTCTTCTTCTCTTCTTTCTTTCTGTTTTTGGTATGTTGTGAGATATGAAATACTTGAGGAATTTGTAGATACATTTGCCTAAAAGCCAAAGCCAAACGAACAGGTGCCAAAAACGTATGTAAATGCAGTTCATAAAAACGTTAAACAATTTGCACTAAACCTAACTAAAATGCAGCTACTTAGATCTTAACATTACACATCTTTCTCTCTTGCCACTTAAAATTATAGACATAAATATGGAGAAATTACGAATTTTAGGCGCTACAATTTTATATGTGTTTGTGTGGGTGTGTGTGTGTGTGTGGGGTTTGTGACTAAATTTTAGTTGAATTTTAAATTCAATTTCAGTTTTTGTTTAGTTTTCTTTTGGTAGCTTTTGCTTGGGCCCAAGACTTTGCTGTGGGTCGTTTGCTTGCTTGTGTCGAAGACAATTGGATTGGATTGGATTGGATTAATTTTAGTTGCACCACAATGAGAGCATGGCTTTCGTTTTCATTTGTTTTTGCAGCTAACGTACAATGACATCAGCCAATGTTTTTTCAGTCTGAAAAACAAAAACGTTTAAAAATTCATAGAGAACACTTAAATCATTTGACAATACAAATTCATTCCATGCGGAAGAGTAAGCAGTAAACAAATTACAGTGTTAGTAAACACAAAAAGAGTTAGTTGTTATTAGACAAAAACAAATAGAAAGCGTGTTTAAAATCAATTAAATTCCCGGAATATTATCAAAAATGTTTCGCCTCTACTGATCTTTTTTCTGAATTTACTGTGTACAAATTTTGGTAACTTTTGTTTTGGGATGGGGTGTATGGGGTGAGTGATATAAACATTTCATTAGCGTCTCTGTCGAACATTTAACAAAATTGTGTTCGCCCTTGGACTGGCCTCTGGGTTTCGTGGCATACAAAAAACCTAGAGCTAAAGAGTCGCTCTACTCTGGCTGCACTATAGGTGGAAGATTCATGGGTTCAGTTTTTACCAATGTTTCCACATCAGTCTGCGCCTAGAGTGAACGTTCTCTTGAACAGAGAAAAGGAGAAACATGCAACAATGTTGTCTTTCTAACTAAAGAGATCAGTTACAAATGCCCGCTAGTACAGTGCGTTTCAGTGCGATAAGGTAGCAGCTTGAAGAACACTTTCTAATTGTTTTTAATGCCATGGATGTGCCAAAAAATTACACTGGAATAAACACACTAAATTCAGGATACACTAAAAAATGTATTCTGTTATGTATAACGAGTCTACTCTTCATCTGTGGCAATTCCTGTGGCATTGAGCTTCCATTTAACAGCAAATGGCCCGCAGTCTTCGGCTTTAGCTACTCGCCAAAACAGACTTCAGCTCTAACGCTCACTTAACGGTTTTGAAACGCACTGTATACATGTATGTTTGTGTGTGTTCTGTGTGAGTGTTTGTTTCAGTTACAATTAGTTGTCGCTGTTGCTGCTTTGTTGCTGCTGTTGCTGTGCTGTTGGTTGCTGTGGTGGTTCGTGGTTGCTGGTTGCTTTGTGGTTCACATTTTGTTTTAATGAGATGCTTAAAATTCAGTGTGCATTGACATCGACTCAATGCTCTGACGCAGCTGGTCATCGTTGTAGATCTTTTCGCAGACAATGCTCACCTTTTTCAGCAACTCGATGGCAGTTTGCAGCACTTGATGCCATTTGCGTAGCTCGCTCTCATGCGATTGCTCCTGCTGACGCAACAGCTCTAGCCATTCCTCGTTTGTGTTTGGTAGTTCCCTGCGTAACGAATAGAAATTGCGAGTTAAATAGCTGATGCCAGTTGGCTGGCTGTGTACTCACTTTAAGGCCGCCAAACTGGGAAAGCTCGCTCGTCGACTGAGATCCACATCAATTCGTTCCTCCAGCTTCCAGAGCTTAAGTAATAATATCACATTTAATGCCAGCATCAAGCAGAGCAACAGTATAACAAACAATGACAAGCCCTTGTGATTGAGGAATCTGTAGTGTCCCTGTCCCTGGCCCATGGCCAGTGGCAGTCGGCCAACGCCGCCGAGATCGACGCCGCCCAGGTGCTTCTGCAAATGCTGTTGCTGATGGTGGAGCTGGTGATGCTGCTGCTGCAGGCCCGACAACTGTTGCAACTTGCCGTGCTCATGCAGCAGCGCATGGCCCGAGGCGGCCCCAACGGCACCCGATCCGGCGGCGCCGCCCGCCGACAATAAATGTGATTCCAGCAGTGTATCGCCGCCAATGCCAGCTTGTGCCGTGCCGCTGCCGCCGACGCCAACGCCACCAGCTGCTTCCTCCAAGGGGCGTATTTGCGTGGCGGTACCTGTGGAGTAGGGACGAGCGCAGAGAGAGAGAGAGAGGAATGGCAAATGGTACGGTTAGAAATGAAATCATTCGAAAGCATAAATCTAATAAAAATATGAGCCAGAGAATTGGGTGCACGCATTATGGCAACGTATGGTGAGGCAGCAACAAAGTCACAACATTACAACAGAAAAATCGAGAGAACTCATTCAAAAAATAAACTCAGATAACAAAGCAAATCGATCAGGTACAAGTTCTAAATGGATTCGAGTAGCAATTGCCAGTAGTGGGAGAATTACTCTAATATAGGATTCGGAAAAAGCGTAAGATTATAAAAGAGTTGAGCAAAATGTCTGATATGATTGGAAGAGAGCATTCGAGAGGCAGGAAAGGGGAGCGCCATTTCATGAAAATGTGTGGGGAACGTGGGAAGTTCTTTGAATTTAAATGGTGACTAATAATCCCACAGAAATATTCTACACTTTATAGTTGATTGACAGAATAAAGAAGTTTCCCCATGCCCAAAAATTAAAAAAAAAAACAACATACATGTGTGTGCATGATGCGCAATGATAGGCAATTAGTTTGATGTTTTTTTTACAGCCCACAAATTCAAGAGGGCTGTCCATGTGTGCCATAATCTTATGCTTAATCTTTATCGTATCATGTGCAATTTCTATGAGTCTTTCGTGAGTCACTGCTCAATTTCTAACCCCCCACAGGTGTGCACCACTCCCAAAAACTTGTGATATATTGTCAGATTAGATACCCATTCAAAAATCGTTTGAAGTTAAAGTCCCGAAGCACGTGCAAAGATTTAGAACACACCATTTGTTGGCGACACCTGCATTCACCTTGCCACTGATAAAACAACACCTGGGCGGGTAATCAGCCCACTGATAACCTGGCAAACATTTATGACAACTTCTTTTTGTCCAAAGGAAGTCGAAGATACGTAAGAAACAAAGAAATTATTAACAACTTAACTGGGAATGGAAACTTGAAGCATTTTAAAACATTTGAAACCTTCTCCCCCTGGCAATTGCTTTCCATTTTTTGCTAGCTATCACTACAATGTACCTTTACTCGACTGAAATATGGCCTTACGATGATGCCACAGTGGCTGCGTATGCTGATGAAGCTGATGCAAGTGCTGATGATGATGATGCGGCCTTTGATTGTGCGTGTGCCGATGCTGTTGTGCGTGCTGTGGCTGTGGCTGTGGCTGTTGGCCACCACTGCTGTTGCTACTGTGATGATGATGGTGATGGTGATGCATGTGCAAATGCTGATGCTGATGATGCTCATGTTGCTCCGACTGATGATGATGATGGTAATGATGTCGTGATGGCTCTCGTATGCTTTCATTGTCCGTGCTGGTTGCTGTTCCCGTTCCCGTTCCCGCTTCGGTTACAGTTGTTGTAACTTTTGCTAAAGCTGTACTTCCCGCTGTTGTTGTTGATTGTAGATTTATGCCTGTTGTGGTGTATGTTGTTTGTAGCTTGTTGTTGTAGCTTAGCATTATTGGAAT